TCTGTACCACTCCTGCACAGTTCTTGGCTGTCCCAGCTTCATTGCAGCCATGATGGCTGCCTCTTCTCGTGAAGGGAGAAAAAAGAAGCCCTGAATCCAGCAGGAGAGTTCCTGCTCTCCGCAAACTGCAGGGCGTCTCTCTTTTCTTCACCACCCCTACACGGTGGCTTTAGCTCCTTTCAGAGCCCTCCAACAGAGAGAACTCAGCGTGGCAGTGCGGAGACCTGCTCCTCATGTCCAACAGCATCATGACATCAGCCGGAAGTCCCCTTTTTTGCCAGTTTCTGACAAGCAAAGTAAATGAGGAAGCTGGCAGGAAGTCATTAGTTATGTTCACATAGGTCCTTGCTTAATGATGGCTACTGGGACTGCCCAAACTGCTATGGCTATATGGACAAGATAAATCTTTACACTACTATATAAATCAGTTATATCAGTGTTTTCACAGTTTGGACTCTAGTAGAACTCTTAATAGATCAAGAAGCACATACTAGGATGCAGTTAGTTTGCAGTGAGCACTGGCCAAGTTATTGGGTCTTTTCATTGGCCTGCTTAAGACTGAATATACTACAAAAGAGAAACTTTATTTTTAAAAAAATATTTTTAATGGATTTTTCCTTTTTATATATCTCAATCACATATTAAAGAGTACTGTGACATTTTTATACAACTACGTATCATGTCCAATACAATCTATATGTTCTACTTCTATGCCTTCTATATCTATTGTATACATTTCCTTTTCTTATTTCTATTATCTATTCAGTTGTACCATTTCTCCCATATTGCATAATATTCAGAATCTTCTTTTCCTTTTAATTCTATAGTCAATTTATCCATTTCCGCGCACTCAATTTTTTTAAAAATTACTAGACCTTTGGATGTTATGCGGTCTTTCTTCCAACACTGCGCAAAGGCTATCCTTACTGCTGTTATTACATGTAACACCATATATTTTTCCTTTTATTGGATTTCCCTTTAATTATCCCTAGGAGAAATAATTCCAGAGCAAATTCTATTTGACTTCCTGTTATTTCCTGTAACCACTTTTGTATTTTCTTCCAATATTTTTTCACTTCAGGGCATAACCACCATATATGATAGAAGGTACCTGTTTTTGTCTGCATTTCCAACTGTTTGGATTTGAGTTTGGATAAATCTTAGCCAGCCTTGTGGGTGCCAAATGCCAGCAATAAAACATTTTGTATTGGTTTTCTTTGTAAGGTGCCGATTTTGTTATCTTGTAATTTATATTCCAAATTTTTTCCCACTCCTCTAGCTCAATATTGTACCTGAGATTTTTGGCCCATGCTATCATTGATCCCTTCACTATTTCCACTGCTTTGTCAAATTCTAATAGGTAATTATACTTATTTTGATAACAATTTCTCTTCTGGGCCAGTCAAAAGTTTATCTAGTTTTTGTGGCTCAGTGTCAATTCCATATTCCTCACTATCTTTTTTGTATTTTGATTGTAGTTGCAAGTAAGGCCATCAGTTTATAGATATTCCCTGATCCTTCAATTCCTATTTTTTAATTTCCTTTGGTTATCTAAGGTTTCCTTGTATCTGGCCATTTTGTCTACATCCGTTGTGTTGGGGTGGATCACTGCTTCCATGATGGATAGCCAACCTGGGATTTTTATATAATGCTTTTTTTTTTTAAATTTCTCTCAGCATTCCTTATTTTATGTCTATAAAAATATAGATGTGACTTTTTTTCCCTATCCCACTTTTTTCCCTATGCCACTCCCTTTGTAGATCATGCCCTTCAAGTGTTAGTATTCTTCTATTCCTTAAATTAATCCAATCTTGCACCCATACTAATGTTGCCACCTTATAATAGAGTTCCCAATCCGGGAGTCCAAAGCCACCTCTGCTTCTGCTGTCCTGTAAATCTCTTTAATTTTATCTGTGCCTTCTTACATGACCAACTAATTTTATGGTTATTCTATTTAGATCTATAAAAAATTCTTGTCTAATTTTATAAGAATTGTTTGGAATAGGTAAAGTAGTTTAGGTAAAGTATTCATTTTGAATACGTCCTAATAAAGATAATTGTAGAGTCCCCCATCTTTCCAAATTTTTTCCAAAATTTTCCAAATTTTTTTTGACTTGATGGAATAATTTCACATAATTGTCTTCTTTTATTGAGAAGCAACTCGCTGTTATCCAAATTCCTAAATATTTAATCTTTTTTATAATTTGTAATCTGATTACATTTTCTAATTCTCTTTTGTATTTAATGTTATGTTTTTCACTAGCGTTTTAGTTTTAACTCTATTAATTTTAAGACCTGAAACTTCTCCATCTTTCTCTATTTCTTATATCAAAGTTGGTCCGGACTCCGGTGGTTTCTCAATAAAAAATACCAGATCATCCGCGAATGCCTGTACTTTATACTCTTCCTTTTTAATTTTGGTTCCTTTTATTTTGGGGTTTGTTCTAATTTTTATTAATAATGTCTCTAATGTCAGAATGAATACCAGAGGTGACAGTGGACATCCCTGATGAACTCCTTTCATTATTCTAAATATTTTTGTAGTGTCCCCGTTTATTATTACACTAGCCTTTTGGGAGGTATATACTGGTTTTATCATTTTTTCAAATTTATCTCTAAATTTCATCTCCTTAATTTCTCGAATCATAAGTTGCCAATTTAAGTTATCAAATGCTTTTTGGGCATCCAGAAAAACAAGCTCCAGTCATGTTCTATAATCTTTTTTAAAAAAGAGGCTCGATCCATTTCTAGATGTATCAGGGAGTCTTCTAGATCCTTATTCAATGCCATCATTCATTGATCTACCTATTTCAGTTTTTTCTCTGTTCTGTTTTTATTTCCACCGTTTTTATTTTCTGTTCCTTTTTTTGTATCGCCTCTTGTATTGAATCCACTTTGTAGTCCAATTACTGAATATCAGTTTTCATTTCACCATGGTGTCTCAACATTGTCTTGGAGTTTTACCATGGTTTCTTGAATCATTAACAACGTGGATTGCATTGTTTGTGTATTCAGTGTAGAACTTGATTTCTCTGTGGTTAACATCCCTTCTATTGACCGCTGGTTTGATGGAGATGCCATCGCCACCGTTGGATTCGATGTAGTTTTTTTTCCTGCCCTCAGGGTTGTTGTTGTGATAGTGATCATTTCCTTCAATATTTTGTTCTGTTCTCCTGAGGTTCTATAGATAGTTTCCCAAATTACCATCCAACAGTTTTATTGCTAATAGTGATAACTTTTTATCGTTCTACCTTATTTTTTCTATGTCTTAATATCTTAAATTAGGTTGAATTAGATTGAAACGTAAATCTACCTCTAATTAATAACTATTACCCTTTTATTCATCCATAATATGATATTCACTATTTTAGGCATTTAACTATTCTATTTCTATTTCTATGAATTATATAGTCAATATTATTACTTTCTGTAAAATAATCAATAATTATAATTCATCTAAATTAGTTATAATAAATATAGTATGATATAATTGATATAATTGTTAATATAAATGCTATAAATATTAAATATACTTTAACTGTACCTTAAATATAATTCAATCAGTAGAGTCTGTATACTATAAGTAATATGAACAAAACAATCAAAGCAATCACTATAATAATCAAGTTAATTCTATACCATTCCTCAAATAGTCTTAGGATCAGATTTATCCACAGTCCCATGATAGTATTGCATTCACTGCCAACTCCGTTTCTGCTGGTATTTCTGATTACTTGTTCGTTGTTGCCTATGAGTCTCATATAGTCCACACTCCTTCTAAGTTTAACTTCTCCACTCTCTCACACTCTCTTTCTGTCCTCTTCACTTCTCTCGTTAATCTCAGGGCTGACGAAAACACCCGCCTTTCTCTCCGCCACTCCCCACAAGTTTTCCCCACCACACGCCACCCTCACCACCTCTTTTACTGTCTTGATGCCTCCTCCGATCCTCTCTCAATCTGTCCCGGATCCCTCCATTCTTCTTCAGGCTCGGATCGACCTGCGTTACTCTGTTACTTTTGGCAAGTATCAGATCGCAGGTTTCTCCTTTTGCCTCTTTTTGGTCTGGTGCCTTCCATTCTCCCACTCTCGCTTTCACACTCTTCCCCTCCAGCTTCATTGCACTTCTCTCTGTCACTCTAAACTTCAATTTTCTTCTGCTCTTTCAGTTTTTACATCTATAAATCACAGCTCTTTCCTTTGAATTGCCACTAGGATTTTGGGGGTTACACCCCCCGCCTCCCCCCCCGAACTTCCTTATTTACCAAATCTTCTGTAATTTACTCACTTTGACTGTTCCACACACTGCAAATCTGGGAATTTCTCGCCAGTTAGAATGTCATTGTCTGTTCATAGAATCTTTTTTTCCTCGTCTGCTGTGGCTTGTCACGGTCTCGAGTCCGCCATGTCAGAATGACATGACAGGACGCTTTTCACACCGGGTTAAAGAGGGATCCTTTAGTTGCAGTGGATGGTTGCATTCCACCTCGCTGTCCCTCCCTGTTTCACGGAGCTCTCCGGGCTCTCTGCGCCTTCAAAGGGTCCCTAATCATGAAGAAATCAGAGTTTAAGGATGGAGATCGTTTTTTTCCCTCTGCACCGCCACACGAAGTCAGAAGAGAAACTTTAATTCCATGTTGCAAAGCAGAGAAAATTGTTGTCTTTAATGGAAGCTCGATTATTCTAATATATCATTGATGAATTCATAAACTTCAAAAGAATTCCAAAATTCATCAGGAAATTCCCCTAAAATAAAAAGTATGGTTTTATAAAACTTAGAAGTGTGCATACTTTACCCACTGATTTAAGCTGTCTTATGTGTTATAATTATGAGCATGTCTATAAGGGCAGTATAGAAAGTATAAATAAATCAGCCTCTTTTTTTTATAAAGAAGAATGTTGGGCACTAAAAGCCAAGCAATATTCCTGCATTTTGGCCTGATTCCCATGTCTGCATGGTATATTTTGTGTGCTCAGTTGTGCTTGGCTTTGTGCATTTAGGCAGTTAGTAACAGGCTGCTGTTGCAGAGGGAAGCGACCCCTTTGGCAGGCCAACCACAGCCCCCACCACCACCTCCTAAGTGGCCTGGAATGATCTCAAGTGAACAGCTGAGCTTGGAGCTGCACCAGGTGGAGAGGGAAATCGGGAAGAGAACCCGGGAACTAAGCATGGTGAGTGTTTTGTAAGCTGGGCAGAGAAGCTGCTGCTGCTGCTGCTCCTGCTGCTCCTGCTGCTCCTGCTGTTTGGTGAGTTGCAGTGTTAACTGCTCTCACAGTTTCTGGACAAGAGTCATTTATTTTGAATATTCGGAGCTGGTAGCTTATAATTTTTTTGTTTTTCTACAAATTTAATTTTGCAAGCTACCATAATTGAATGTTGGCAAACACTCAAATTTACAGCAAATAATCAATCCTCTTAAGCATCTGAAGCACACTAGGTTACAATCTGCACACAATACTTTTGAAATGTCATTTGAAAAAGGGACACTGGTTTTTCCAGCCCATGGTGATAGACTTCCTCGGTCTCTGCTGCTTGCACATGTGTTGGAAAGCTTTCTAGTCTAATAAAATAAAACAGCTTGGTCTAGGATTATGTTCCTTTGTTTGTAGCTTTTGTGTGAGTATGGATGTAGAGCTTGGCTTGTTGCTTCACAATTTCTTCCCACTCATAAAGCAAACTTACAAGTACATGTGAACCATGGATTTGTCTTTCCTTTCCCAAGGAGACCCAGTCTTCACTGGATGTGAAAAACAAAGCAAATGCTAGTAAACAGACTGAAAATGGACAGCAAGGCAAAGTACCACCTGAAGATCTTTCTCTAGCATTCAGGTAATAGTATTATTTTTATTGGTAATTTAATTCAAACTTAAGTATTACATTGGGTACAGTTATTTTAATTTTATGTATTGACATTGTTTTATTTTATCAGCCAGTGTTTAAAATTCTTTCAGTGTTTTCCAAATGGCAGTAGTCAGGATATACAGCGCATGCCTGACATTTCTCAATAGGCGCTTCTTTCAGTGATAGTGCTGGTTTCTTCCAAAGACATTCTCCAAATTGGTGTTGGTACTTAACCAGCACAGCAACCTTAGAATATTACTGTCTTTAGTACTTTTGACAGTGCAATCATCTAGAACTGGCTTAACCTTCACAGAATTTCTAGATTGAGCCAAAATAACTTGATACACAGCAGAACATGCTCATTGTGCCAAGTTTGATAAACTCTGCTATTGCAATGGTGGGAAGGCAACTTTAAAAAATAATTTCTTAAGGTAACAATGTGTCAAAGATATATCAATCAATCAATCTTTATTTCAGTCACACTCCAGCAAATAAAAGCATGAAAACAATAATAGGAAAAAATAAAAATAAATGACAAGCAGAATAATATATTGTGATTGGTTGTGGATTAACAATGAGCAATTAGTTTGTCCAATTTTACATATAGCACAGCAGAAGTTGGCTACATTCAGATAAACTACTTCATACTGATCTGATAACAGTATTTGCCTGTAAAAATATCAGCATTTCCTAGATATATTATCAGGTAAGATTTTATAAATTGAGCCTGTGAGTTTTTATAAAAGATGCAGTATAGCAGGATGTGAGTTATAGTTTGAATGGCCCATTGTCCACAGGGGCAGAGTCTCAGCTCATATGATAGTTTTTTGTATCAGACCTCCAAAACTGCTATGGGAAGCACATTACAGCATGCTAAAGTTAATGGCATTCAGGTTTTTGGGACGGTTATTTGATATAAATATCTAACTTCTTTAAATAGGGCAGTTTGACTGCTCAGAAAACATTCTTGGAAAGAGCAGTCAGATCTTGTTGGATTTCCAGATCTTTAATAGGTTGTTTAAGTGCACTAAGTGCACACTCATACCCCATCGGTCAAAGATATATATACTAGATTACCTTTCCCAGTTATTGCTTTTGTTCATGCTTATTAGGATAATGTGCTAGAGACAGAGTTCTAATAAATTATCCTACTTATACTTGTGGAATGGCCCAAATGGTGATAGGGATGTCCAAGTACTGTAGGTGCAACTTTCTGTGGTTAATGAAGAATGTGAATTTAAACAAGGAAACCCACAAACTGCAAGCAGATCCCTTTAAAAATATATCTTCTATCTATAGATCAACTAAGTTTTGATGGTTTATTATTCTCCAGACAGATTATTTCAGAGTCCAAACAACCAATCCTCTTTCTACACTTCAGTTCAGCATTCAATACCATCATTCCAGACATTCTTCTAACCAGGGGTGGGATCCTACCGGCATAACAACCGGTTCAGCGACTGCACGCTGTGCGCAGGTGCACAGTACTTGTAAATCAACTTCTGCAAGCAATAACCTTCTCCTGCTGACCTGCGGCACTCAGCTGTGCTGCGCAAAGTAACTAAGGTTGCTTTAGCAGGGAATAAAGGACAGCCTAGAGCCCAGGCGGGTGAGTGGCTCCAACCGAAGAAAAGAAGATCTTTAGACCAAACCGGTTCGGTGTCAGCTGCTCTTCGGATCTACCGGTTCTATAGAACCGGGCCAAACCGGTAGAATCCCACCCCTGCTTCTAATTAAACTAAACCAGCTAGCGGTACCTGAACACACTTGTAAGTAGATCATAAGCTTCCTAACAGACAGGAAACAGCAAGTGAAGCTAGGCAGAATCACATCTGATACCTATACAATTAGTACAGCCGCCTCCTCTCCCCCCCCCCCCCCCCCCCCCCCCCCCGCCCAGGCTGTGTGCTTTTTCCACTTCTTATATACCAATGACTGCATCTCAAATGATCCATCTGTTAAAATACTGAAGTTTGCAGATGATACAACAGTAATAGTTCTCACTTGAGAAAACAACAAATCCGCATACAGATGGGAGGTTGTACAACTTTCCTCGTGGTGTGACTGGAACAGTCTGGAACTGAACACATTCAAAACAGTAGAAATGGTGGTAGATTTTAGGAGAAACCCTCACATATTATCACCTCTTATAGTACTAGACAACACTGTATTAACAGTAGAGACCTTCAATTTTCTAGGTTCTGTCATATCACAAGACCTAAAATGGGCACCTAACATCAAAAACGTCATCAAAAAAGCACAACAAAGAATGTTCTTTCTGCACCAATTCAGAAAGCTCAAACCACCCAGGGAGCTGCTGATTCAGTTCTACAGTGTATTAAGTCTGTCATCTGCATCTCTTTTAACTGGTTTGGTTCTGCAACCCAATAGGATAGATACAGACTTCAGAGAGTAATTAGGACTGCAGAAAAAACAATTACCGCCAACCTGTCTTCCATTGAGGACCTGTATATTGCACGAGTCAAAAAGAGGGTTGTGAAAATGTTTACAGACCCATCACATCCTGGGCATAAACTGTTTCAATTCCTACCCTCAAAAGGATGCTACAGAGCACCACACACCAGAACAGCTAGACACAAGGAGAGTTTTTTTCCCTGAATGCCATCACTGCTAAACAGATAATTCCCTCAACACTATTTACAAAGTCTGCGTTTCTATTACTATTAATCTTCTCATTACTCCTTATCACCCGTCCCCTCCCACTTGTGACTTTATGACTTTAACTTTGTTGCTTGTATCCTTACAATTTATATTGACTTTCCTAGTATGATTTGATTGCTTATTGTACCCTGTGACATTAAGCGTTGTACCTTATGATTCTTGACGAATGTATTTTTTCTTTTATGTCCACTTAAACATTTGCACCAAGACAAATTCCTTGTGTGTCCAATCACACTTGGCCAATAAAGAATTCTATTCTATTCTAACCAGGCCTGGAGGAAAAATTAGAAATTGGAGATTAGCAGTTTAGAATTAATCTGAAGATGGAGATAATAGGCAGGTATTATGAGCATTAGATTATTCCTGGCAGAGTGTAGAAATAACGTAATTTTTTAAAAAATAGTACTGATAGAGAGTAATTTTTGTTTAGGATTTGGTGCCATACTGATTCTGCTACATACTAATTCAGAGGGCCATCTGAAATAGCTTAATTATATCCAGTGTCTTTTCTCAATGTTAACCTTTTCTCTTTTTTTCCCTCCATCCCTTCATTTTTTCTTTTCTTTTTTGACACTGATTACTCAACAGTGATCTTCCAAATGGATCTGCCCCAACTCAAGAAATTATAGGCCTTCTGTCAAACAAAACTACAGCTCTGAACTTGTCAGAGGACACCGACGTAGGAGCAGGTGACCAAGATACCCAGAGAACCGGAGCAACGCCCACCTCTGCTCCTTGAAAGAATAAGACTATCCCTCCACTTCTGTCGGGGGTCACCTTTTCCCATCCTTGGATTGATGAAAGACGCTAAGCAAAAGTCTTCAACAATAGCAAGTCTGAGACAATGTGCACAACACCACTACTAGGAACAAACCCTGCACATAGTTCACATTAACACATTTTTTAATTAAAAAAATGAAAATTAGCAGTATCTGCAAACAACTCAAATTAAATTTGTTTTTGTTCTGTGAATGAACTTTATTTTAATAACTTTGGATGCCTTGAATGCCAGGGCTTTAAAAAAACAGATATATATATATATATATATATATATGTACACACACACAAAGACACACAGACACAGACACACATTTTACACACAGAGACATACGTACTTTGTTTGATTAATTGTATGATCTAATGGGATAGGCTTTCTGTTTTATTTTGGTATTGTTACATACCCAGTGTATCATTAACTTTTCTAAATGTTGTTCATTCCCCCCCCCCTCAGAATAAGCTCATTCACCATTTCTTTTTGTGGTTTTTAAAAATAAGGAGTTGAGATGGAGGAGAAAACTCTATAAATTGTCCCAAATCTGTACCTCTCTTACAGATACTATCATAACTTTTTGTTAATTTAAAATTGTGAAGGATTTTCCATTGCATTAGAAATCAAACATTTTATTGGACACTGAAAACTTCAAGGAGTAGCAATAGTTATTCCATTTTAAAAGTAAATGGAAATGTGCTGCCCTGCATTCATAATAAACTGGCTAAGAAGCATTGATCATGGCATTTGTAACATAAAGCAAAAGTATTTCATTTGCATAAGTAAGCTTAATAAACCTGCCTCAGAACTGGATTAAAGCAGAATCTAGAAACTAGTATAAAATGGCTTCAGGTGAGATAAAGGTGCAAAGATTAGTGTAGTAAATATGAGTCTTCAGCTTCTTTTCTTCCTTTGAACTACAATTTCTGTATCATCCTATATCCTTGAGGGAGGCAGGTACATGGATGATTTTCTGATGCAAGATAATTTTGGAGTCTGCCTGAGATGCAAGATGATAAATTCTATTTTATACATGATGGGAAACATAAAATTGGATGTAACAATATTCTCCTTCCTGCTTATTTTGCATCCAAAGCTAGTAATACCATGATTGGTCAGCATTATCTTTCATGGCAAAACTGAATCTTTGAAACTCAAGAGTTTTGAGTTTAACAAAACAAATGATTCTGAAAAAATTAAATCATGTTAATTTCAGCAAGTCCATTACAGAAGCAGCAACCTTTCATGTATGGATGAAATAAAAAGACTTCCTAGCTCTGCAGTATTAGTTCAGTTATCACATTTCTTAAAATGCACAGAAGTGTTCATATACACACAGCGTGTAAAATTGACTTTTGTCCTCCTCTCTCCATTTTACTTGCATTAAGTAAGGTGCATATGTGAAAAGTCTGGAAGAAAATTCTTGCATCCTTTCTCTGTAAATTACATTTTTAAATTTCAAAATGCACTGGCTATGTAATAAATTGCTTTGGTTGGGTAAAAGCAAATGTTTATTAACCTTGTTCTAGATTACTTTTCTTCCCTTAAAATCCATTGAGGTTAAAACATCCTTTTATATCCATTTTATTCTTAAACAAAATATGTTGTGAGCATACAGGCCCCCCTGTTGCCTACCAGTAGGAAGATTCAAAATAGAGACATTTGCAAGTACTGATTATTTAGTATAGTTACCTAGTCAAGATGTTGCATTTTTACATTATTTCACAATCTGGCTGGCCAAAAAATTAATGTCCTTATTGCCTTGGGATTTGAGCATCTGTTTAAATAAAAAACTAAAATATGTACATGTGTGTATACACATTCATGTTTGTGTCTGTGTACATATGATATTTAAGGATATTTCCTCACGTTTACTGCTATTTTATAGCATCCAGGACTTGGAAGCATTCTGTGTGGTGTGTCTTTGTGTATGTATGTATGTGTATGTATATGTGTTCATATACGTACAAACACACACACATATACACTCTCCCTCTCTTTTTTAAAAGATATTTTAATTCTCTTTTCTTTGATTTAATTCTGTATCAAAAATCACTCTTGATATCATACAGAACTTTCTCTTTTCATACTACCATTCAGTCTTTCACTTAGAAGAAAGTGGAAGAAAAACTTTGCTTTTCTTTAGGTTCTCACTTAATGTTCTTTATGTACTTTGTTATATCTTTCCTGTCTTTCTTTCTTAAGTAAACTAATGTCATGGCATAATTAAAGAAAGTTTGCTTATATAAATTATTTTTCTTGCCATGTCTCCAATACAAGAAGACTTTTTAGTGAATCAGGCTCGCTATTCCCAATATAAGGCCATTCTTAAATGTTTTCTCTTCCAAAGAAAATCCAACTTGGAATAACAGAAAAATTGGCTTCCATCTAGATATGCCAAGCAGACTTGTTTCCTATAGGACATTTTCTGGCTAAAGAGAGGGAAGACTGAACATTTTTAATGCATTTAACTATATATATATCAGATATAAGTATGGAAGAGTTGGGATTGTAATGACAAAACCATCTCCTCTTAACATTAATCCATTCTTTAGACCATTTATAGCACGTCTGTGCCTCTAGATATTGTATATGCATAGGCCCATATTTTGTACACATGCATATTCTTCATGTTGTACATATGATTATTTTACATATGTACATGTACATATGTTCATAAAGCACTAGGCAAAAAAGTGTGTGGAAGAAGTTGTTATCATTGAGAAATCTCTGCTAAATGCTTTGAATCTAAGCTAACCTCTCATTATTTTCCTGTAGTTGTACTTTGTGCACAGTGCCCTATCTAGGTTAATGCCCTTTATACATAAGCAAATAGTTTCTGTTTAACCTTTGCAGAGCACTTTGATCTTGGCTTAGTTTGCTGTTTTCTTTTTTAGGATCTAGAGGATAACTTGAAGTGATGAGCATGTAAAGAACTGTCTGGCTTTCATACAGAACAATGTATAATACTGTATTCTCAGGTGTCTTTTTTTTAAAAGCTAGCTTTTTTTAAGTCCATGTGTTAAAACCCCATAAAATTTCTATTTAGGAGCAGAATTCAGGTTGATGTGGAAACAGTGACACTTTGGGCTTATATAGTCATCCACATGAACCTTAGCTTCACATTCTAGATTTTGATTTTTTGCAGGCCAGAAAAATATTTGCCTTCTGTCCATTAGAAAAGAGGAAACAAGCCAAATCCATATGCATGGCTGTGTTATGATCATAGCTGAACTCTTAAATATCCTCCACTCTTCATTTAGACTGCTTGTGGAGCTAAAATACATTTTTCTGAGAATTGTTGAATGAGATTCATGGTTATGATCAGTCTTTTTTCTACAGAATATCAATATCACTGTCATCCAGCTGTGCTGTACATAATAAAGAGCAGTATGTCATTTTTTAAAACATTTTAATTTAAACTTGGCTGGAATACACTGAATTGTATGAAATAGATTGTTCTTTATATTAGGATGCTATGGCATCATAAGCAAAACTTGTATTGTGTATTTAAATTTTTTAAAAAAGTATTTGAAAGATACTAAAATATTTAGCCTCAAGCAAGTTTTATGAAGGATTTAAGTCATTGTTTTTAAATAAAGCAAAACCCCAGGTTTCGGAATATCAATTCAGTAATACTTAATTCAGTGCATGCAACTCAGATTTACAGATTAAATGTGTTTGGCTAATTAGGACCTGCAAGATCCATTTGAACATTGCTTTTTCAATTTCTGCTTCTTGTCTTTACATCTCTCCTTTGTATGTTCCCATCATCATCCCTTTTTCATGCACCAGGTAACAGCATGTTGCCTCAAAATAGAGCATTCAGATGAATTTGAGTACCCATAACTTCTATGAAGTTGCATTTCCTTATGGTGTTATTACTCAGTGATGCATAAATGTGGTATTGCCCCTACTTGTAGGCAAATGAGGGGTCTGTATAAATATGGAAAATACCCTATTCACTTAAGGAGAGCCAAAGACTTGTGCTTTACTCTTGGTTTGATTGTTGTTGTTTTTTCTTTCTTTCTATTTTCTTCTAACCATTTTACTACAAAAGCCTGTTTGGATTGAAAATCTTTTATGTTTTCAAACCTTAACAATGGTAAATAGATATAAAAATTCTTGACTGTCAAGTCTTACAAAATGCATTCTATGATGATGACTTATTAGCTCATTTCAGAAGTGCTATGTTAAGCGTCATTACATTTGCAGTCATTACACCTTAATTACCTTTTTAAAAGATGTGTGAATGTTGTCCCAAACACACTTAGATTTATAATGTACAAAAAGTGTTTTTAGAAGAAACATTGTTTATTTTCACTGTTCCTTCTTGAAATTTTCTATTGAACTGTACTAGAAGTAAGTATGCGGAAACTTGAAAGAAACTGGAGAGAGATTCTGAAACAGTACCATCAGTCTAATATGTTTGCATAGTCAAGTTAAGTAAATTGTTTCTTTACATTTGACTGTGGAAAATAAGTTTCATTGTTGGTTGGAAACACAACAAATAGTAACCTATTGTCTGCTTTTCCAAACCTATACAGAAATCTCTCTGGATAGGAATCACAAACCACATCCACCATCTCAGCAACATAATTTAATCAAAAAGCATTCTTGTTTCCTAATTCTGTCCACTTGGTAAGCATAAACTTTATTAAAGCAAATAGTCCCAGAAAGAGCCTCCTCCAGTTACACTTCCTGTTTCCAGTTGAAAAACTGAGTTGGAAGTCATGCAGTTGCCTACTTCTTATCCATCTCAAAATACTAAGAAGGATGGGCAGAAACTTCTTCAGAATATGACAATCCTATCCAGATAAGCTATTTACTTTGTGTGTTTCGCTATCACCTTGTGACATCATTTACTAGTATGAGTGAGAATTTTAATAGATTTTCTTTAAAAATTCTCACTATTGTCAGTAACATGGATTCATAGTACATATCCAGTCTCTGAACTGATTTGGCTGGAAAAGACACTTGATACAAACAGGGAAGCACTTGAAGATGCCATCAATATTTGACCAAAAAAATAAATAACCCTGAGCTGTAATTTGTGACTAGAATGAGCCACTGTGAACACTGAGCATTTATGTTTCCCCTAGAATAGCTAAAAGTTCACAATATTTTGTTTTAGATTTAGTACAAATTGCTATGTCATCTAAACCTAGATAAAATGTTTGTATTAATTTCAGAATAATTCATATAGTTGATTTGTTTCAAACAGTGGTAAGATGAAGCATGGTTTAACCACTTAACCACCTAATCAGACAATATGGTGAATCAAATGCAGAAGTAATCGTATTTCATGTCCAGAAAAGAAATGAAAGGCATTTAATGAAAATACAGTTGGAAGTTCATTCTCATAGCACTAAATCATGGTTTCACTGGAGTTCTCTTGTCCAGACCCCCTATTTCAGTGTGGTACATATCACAAGTAAATAACACATAATTGTTTCATCATAATACAATAAAAAACAGCAGTTATAAGGTTGCAGATTGCCTTAGCCTACACCTCTTCCTGTTTCATGAAATAATTATGATGCAATTATGTGACATAAATAGGAAGTACTTACCTCTTTTTGTGAAGCATGGTTTAACTTTTTTTTTGCTGCAGAACAAATATCACCCCAAAATTATAAGAGTCTTGATTAAGTGCCATTTGAAGTTTTTTGCACACAAAACAGTAGCTCCATATTTTTTAAGATCTGTTGTGCAAAATTCAGATATTAGAAAGTGTCTGTTTTTCATCAAAACAGCCCAGAGATTGGTATCTATGTCACAAGAGTAAATTAATAAGGCTATGTAGGTTGGCTCAGTATAACACCAAGAAGTGCCATTCTCCTATTATAAAATTTGCAGTAAGATTTCTATGTTGTGTTGGATACAGTAGTGAATACCCAAAATGAAATGTTATAGCCGGGACAATTGCATTTTGACATCTGTATGAAATTTAAAATTTGGAACAGTGATCCTTCATTGTGTTGATAGTGTCTTAAATAGCTATAGTTACCATTCAGTGGCTGCAGAGCTTCTATTCTTGTATCAAATATTACTTTCCTGCATGTTACATATGGCTGCCTGATGCTTTTTTCACATATAAAAAAGTATCTTGTCTGACGACATAACATACTGAAGGGAGGAATCTAAAAGAACACACCAAAGTGCATCCTTCTCTCTGAAAATTAAAAGTACTAGGTATGCTAATGTTAAATGTATACATATATATAAATTTTATAAAAACAAAATCCTGTGGCATATTGGTGTTTGCTGTAAACAAAATTTGTTTGCTTTTGTGTATGTTAAAAGTGACTTCAGGCACAATTGTAGTGGGAATGTCTTCCACACAAATCCCTCCAAAAGAGTGGGATGTGTGCAAGAAGACCACCTCTGTGCTCTCTTGTTGTTAATGTTAGTTTGTTGTAGCAGACAATACTCACAAGTCTTTGGCATCCAAAACCAGATTGTGTAACTGGATCAGAATCCCACAGCTGGATTTGCATAAGGCACTCTTTCCAAGTTAGCCATTCAAAGGGAGGGACAGAGGTGGAGAGCAGGAGGGCAGACCTAATGAAAATTGTCTGTTTGGCCAGCTGTCTTGGCAGCCCTCAGTTCTAATCCTGCACAACCCCCTAAAGGGTTCCTCTGCTGTCTGTTGTGAGTTTACAATTGCCTTGCAGTCTCTGCTTGCTATGTAAGCAGCCTTGTTGCTAACCATGAACCCTTTTCCTTGAAGGCAACTTTAGTTTTTTTGTTTTTTTTAAATTAGTTTTCAAGGATTGGCAGTCAGCAATCTGGATTTTGCTCCTTATTTTTATTCAGCCAACTTGACATACATTATTCTCCCTCCTTCAAAACCTCCTGGTCATTTCCAGTTGTGGGATTTCTCTCTCTCTATGTGCATTCTTATGGTTTGGGGGTGGGGTGGGGTGTTAAGCCAAGTTTCCTTTGGTCTTTTTAGGATTGTACCAGTCTCCCCGAGACATTCTTAAGTCATTATCACCTTTTTGGGTGGAGTTCATTTTTTTTAATAACTTTTTTGACATTTTGGTGCATTTATGCTTGGGATAGAGCTCATGTAATTTACCAATCGTATTGATTGTATGTGATTGTGCCCTGCGGAGGTATATTTAACAAAAAAAAATAAAAGAAAAAAAGAATTAGTCTAGGGTGATGCTGATGATAATAAAGATTCCAAGATACTAAGTAAAAGGTGTGGGTGATTTTTTTGAATTTGCTTACATGTATCTGTTAGTTGGTATTATAAAATGTTTATTCCTTTTCTCTGACCTTTGCCTTCCTTCTGCTTGGTATTTAATGTTGCTCTCAGTATATGTGTGCAATGGCTGTTCCAGATTCGGAAAGGTGCGCTCATGTGGTATGAGCATGGCTGGGCAAATGTGCCGTAGAGAGTGCAGGCAGGGAAGTGCTGGTGTGGAACATGCTACAGCGTACAGGAGATCTTTTACTTCCCCGCTGGACTTCTCAGAGGAAAAAGTGGCAGAAGAAACTTTGAGAAGCGACCTGGAACCTTCCTTGCCAGCTTCCCTGCTGAGTTTGCTTATGGGAAACTGGCAGAAAAGGTTGCAAATAATGATCACATGACCACAGGCACAGCAGCCATTGCAAATTCAAGCCATTTACCAAGAACCAGATTGCAATCTCATGACTATAGGGGTACTGAGCCAGTCAGAATTTAAAGCACCATACCACTTATTTTGCACCATCAAACTTTGAATGTTGCTGAATGAGTAATCATTAACTAAGTTCTACTTACACTCCTTTCCTGAAAAAAAAAAGGTTTTTCACTAGAACAGGTAAAGATAATAGGTTTTGTAGCTTTTTACTTGTTTTACACTTAGCCTAACCAATATTGTTAGGTTGAGAGCCACTACTACAAGTTTTAAAGCAGGAAAGGTAACTGGGCTAGAACAACTAAGGGGAAAGGAGAGCAAAATTTGACTTTAAAACAGTTACTGTGATCGATGATAAAATGTTTTTTGGAACTGCCTCGGGCTCTTAGCCGCTATATCTAGTTTCAAAGCTCATATGAACTGTGGGTATACAAAAGAAAAACAATTCTAATCTTTCACTTTTTGGTATTGATTTTAGATTGACTGTAGATAACCAACAGATAGAAGTTGAATAGGGTTAGACTTTGGGCTATGTACAACAGGGTAAAAACAAACCAAAATACACAATAACAATAATTTTAAAAGATAAAAACAAACAGATGCTTGGAAAAGCCCCACATGCCAGTCAAGCTGGAACCAAAAGCTCATAGAAACAAATCTTTATAGAGTCTTAGTGTTTTCTGAGACTCTGGATATCATTCCATAATATAGGTAATCCTGTAGGAAAGGCTGGCAGTTTTGTCAAAGTCCCATGAGCTGTGCAAGAAGATAGTCTGCCCAGAGTTTACTGTGGCAAAGTATTACCTATAATAATTCATGGTAATGTGAAGCCTGTATGGTAAACAGTGATGGGCCAGACAGTCTGGCACTCAAATTCTGGATTAATTGAAACTTCCAATTATTCTCCAAAGGCTGCCCCTCATAGAGCACCCTCTAGTAGTTCAACCATGTACTAAGCCAGGGGTGTCAAACTCATGACCCACGGGCCGGATGTGTCACATACTGGTCACCCCTACCCCCAGTTTAGTGAAGGGGAAAAAAGTTGTGATACATCACATGATGTTTGACACCCCTGTGCTAAGCAGATGGGTTGCTCTCATCAGGGCCTCCTGATTCAGGTAGGAGGACAATTGGCATGCCAGTTAATGCTGGACAAAAAGTTTTCTGGCTATGGCTTCTACCTGTTTAAGCAAATTGCAGGTAACATTTGGGGAATAGCACAGCTTTTATTTTTGGAGAGCCCTGATGTTTATTGGCTTAAAAACAACTTGATCTTGGAAGTATTTCATTTGAGCCTATTTTATCCATCTAGATACTAACAGCCTCTATACATTTTCAGGCAGTCCATAACTTCTCCAGCTCAACCTGGGTGTTGGTGCAACTTTGTGTGTGATTACTGTACTTGAGGTCCTTCCCTCATACCAATGAATGATCGCATCCGGAAGCTCCATATAGGTACTAAATAACATGAGAATATCGAGCAGTACAATATCTCATGTTGGGAACATTTTCCTATGAGTACTAATCAAAACTGCTTACTGGGTTGAAGTGGAACTACATAGAATCATTGCATTGGAATGGACCTTAGAGGCCATCTTGTTCAACCCTCTATTTAGTGCAGGATCCACAGCATCTTTGAGAAACTACCATGCAGCTTTTGAAGACTAACAACACATGGTATGATAGCTGGCCTACAATTGGTACAATCAATCAAGTTTTTCCTCAAGTCAAACCTAAACCCATTTCCTTGGAGTTTTAACCGACTGATCCTGTACCTGTTAAAACACTCTTGAACCTTAAATAAAAATCCACTCCCTTTTTGGTGTGACAACCCTTCACATATTGTAAGATTGCTTTTCTATTTCCTATTACCACTTTTGTAGGCTAAATAAATCCACATCCTCTCATAAGCACAGATTCAACATATGTCCACCTATGTGTTGTGACCAAGATTGCTTGCAACAAGCCCGTGTTTACCTTCTCACATGACATGGAGATTACATAATCTAAAAGCAGAAGCCTTGGGAACTCCTCAGCATTGGCCCTGTGATGATATCCCAAGAGCTTGTGAACAGTCCAACAGTAGGAGAGCAACATTCCAAAATGTCATGGAAGGGCTTCTATACCGTTTCCTGAAATATTCCTTAACCTTGACTATGGTTTGAAGCATCACCATAGTTGCTTTCCTCATGCAGTTCATTCCAATGCAAAAGTTTGTGAAAACCAATTTCAGATGTTCCTCTTCCCATTTTCCGGTAATTGGTAAGGTAACTATGAGAAAGAGGAGGGGAGGATATGCAGTGATTGGGGTTCTCCTTTATGTCTCTCTCCTTTTAATAGTTACCTGTATCATCCTGAAGCTTCCCAGAAATGTAGTGTATCCTTCACTGAGCAGCATTATGTGATAGTTATGCCAAGAGATAGAAGGATGTAGAAAGCATCAAAGATGGTTGCAAGAGGGACACTTTAAGGCAGGGGTCCCCAACCACCGGTCCGCGGACCGGTACCGGTCCGTGGAACATTTCCTACCAGGCCGCCGGTTTGCTGGGCGCCGCCATCTTGTTTGACGAGAAAGTGCTTCCAGGTGAGCTTTTCCGGTTGGAAAGCGGTGTTTGGGTCCTGAAGGAATCCTCGCACCTTAGTTTCATCGAAGGGGCGGGCTTCGAATGAAACTAAAGCACGAGGATTCTTTCAGGACCCAAGGCAAGGCGAGATGAGCGACCGTCCCGAAGCGAAGCCCATTGACAAAGGTACAAAGGAGGAGTTGAAGGTGGGGAGAAGCGGGGGACGGCTGGCTGGCCGGTCGCTCGGCTCGCCTTGCCTTATCATGTGTGCTGATGCCGGTACCGGGCCGCGGATCATTTTGTGATGCCGATACCGGGCCGCGGCACAAAAAAGGTTGGGGGCCACTGCTTTAAGGGACACAGTTGGCCAAGAGCTCTGGCAATTCCAAAGACATAACAGGGAGAATGCCTGAGGTGTCATGTGTTTTGTGCAAAGCAGTGTTATTCTGGGAGCTAGAAATCAGGATCTGCCAGTAATGTAGTGGACTTTAAGCAAGGGAAATTGCATACATGAGCCTTTCTTGAGGGTCTTAACTACTATCTAATTCAAACATTCTACAGCAGTGGTTCTCAACCTGTGGGTCACGACCCCTTTGGGGGTAGAATGACCCTTTCACAGGGGTCGCCTAAGACCATCGGAAAACACATATTTTGATGGTCTTAGGAACAGAGCCATAATTTTATGGGTGGGGGTCACCACAACATGAACTGTATTAAAGGGTTGTGGCATTAGGAAGGTTGACAACCACTGTTCTACAAAGATGCACTCTTGTATTTGATGCAGCATATACAAAAATTATGTTGGTTTGTAGTCATACAAGGAAAGATGCACTTGACAGAATACACAGCTGGTGGCAGATTCTAACTCAGGCTGCTGTAAAGGCCCCCTTTGAGGCATTGGGGGAAATACCTGATAATAAAAATCACAAATAGGTCTTCAGTAAAACTACCTGTCCTCTTTTTCTTCTACCATGTTTTCACTGTTGCTCTATTCCACCAAAGAACTTGAATCAAGGTCCTTAAGTGGTCATTAAAATCAGCAAATTGTAGATAAGTCCCTAATAAATGCCTCTCACCGACAAGCCCCCATTTCATGGATATTTAATAATTTCTGTGGGAGAAGTATCTCCCCCCCCCCCCCCACAAAAAAAAACAACCCTGGATTTCAATTTAACAGTTTTAAGTTTTAGCCTGCTTACTTTAGGGAAAAGAATAATATCTAGCTATACATAGAAAGAAAAGACATTCAAGGGAACCTATTTTCTGCTCAGCTGTGAATCCTTTAGCAACCAGGTGTTTTGTTTATGTTCAACTGTAACCACAGCTGTTTGTGGCTGGAAAGGCAAAGTGGGAGAGGCAGCCAGAGGCTTTTCTTGGCTTGCAGACTCTGGCAACTCTTCTGGATACAGCCACCAAGCAGAGTAGGGTGAAATTGACCAGAGGTCTGACTGGGACCTTTTTCTTTTCCTCAAGAGTCAAATAGAAGAGCCAGAAAGCTACTTGGTGTAGGTATGGGTTGGTTTTTCTTACTGAAGAACCTTAAAAGGGAAGTTCCCCAAAGGTGCATTCCAAACTGTAGAGGGTATGAAGAAATAGTCATGGCTGCTGTTCTTCATGAGACAGTGGAAAGCTGGTGGGAAACAGCTCAGAAGCTCAGTATTTTGTAAAAGGAAGTTTTAGCTGTGCTTGGAGTACCAGATCTGAGCTGCAACAATCCTGACAACCAATAGATGGTAGCAATATGTTAGAGATCTAGTAGCAATAAGCATCTTGGAGGTTTCAGTACACTGCAGAGAGAAAATGGGGGAGGGGGGGGCATTCAGAATTTCTGTCAGCCTAGT